AGTTGGGATGATGACATTCCCAATATGATGGGAAAGTCATAAAAGCCCATGGTTCCAAACCACCAACCAGACTATATCATATATCCCAATTACAATCCATTGTATATCCCAATGAAATTTCGCAATCATAATGTATATGTTTTTGTTGACCTTTTCTACAGGGCTTGTTTACCCACGGATTTTACTCGGACATGATGATGAACTGGTTGGTGGTCTATGGCCATCTCCCAAGAATATTACTATAGCCATCTCAACCAATCATCGCCTTTCTATAATTGAACACAATACAATGTGGGGCTCCCGTTCGATAGCCAAGTTGGTGAACATAACTACAATAACTAGGATCTATCGGGGGACATATCTAAACCTAGATGGGGTTATTAACCGACAAACCATTCTGTAAATACTTGAAACATCTTGAAACCCCCCAAGCAGTTAATCAATGGAGCCATATCCATTCGTTCCTAAGATTGGCTATATGGGCGGAATGCGGTCACTACAGCCATGTCAGTTTGAGGGGATCAAAATCAGTGACCCCCAATTTCGAGATGCCTTTTATTTAAAATCTCAACTGGTTGGTGGTTTCATCCCCTCTGAAAAATATTAGCCAATTGGAAGGATTATCCCATATACTATGGAAAAATTAAAAATGTTCCAAACCACCAACCAGTCAATATTTTATAAAGAATTCATGTCAATTGGGTTTCATGGCAATAAACATGGCAATTAAAAAAAAACCATTTTAATATGGGTCATCCCCAAATAATATGGATGCCGATGTTCATCAAATCTGGGTCCTTCGGGTCCACCGGCCCTGCACCCCTAAAATCCGAAAAGCCGGACCTACGCTGACAAGATCTGCAAACGGCGGCTCCAAGACATCCTGGTGGAAAAATCGAAGGAAGGAATTACTTTCTAACCTTTATGAAGAGATTCTCGTACCGTCGTAGCCTCAGGTAAACATACAAAGAGCTATTGAAAATGGCCCAGTCGAAATAGTGAGTTGTCCCATGCAAAATTGTGATTTTCCATAGTTATGTTAGTTTACCAGAGGGTAATTCATATGACTACTATGATAACTATTATAAGAATAAATAATCCCCCACTATACCCGCGAACCATGGTGCTGGAATATAAAGACCAACATTTGCCCTTATCCAAAATCACCCAGTTTTGAAGGTAAATATACCAGCACCGTGGAACATATGGGTAATGACTTCCGTCGAAAAGTTGGTTAAACATGATGAAGATATCTTCACACGTGGTTATTTTTGTCACATTTGATGATTTTTTCAGCTTCTGCAAGACTTCCAAGGTGTCAAAGACCACTTCATGCATATTTCATAGCGCTTTGCGGCTTAAGACACGTGGGACTTCTCTTCCCGATCAAATGATCATGATCCCGACTCGGGCGGATTGAGGATGGAAGTGGAAGCATCTCGTTTTTCGCAGTGATCCTAGTTTTTCATCACGCATAGAATTATATCATCATACCGGCACAATAGTCTTTCTTGAACTCATACAAGACCTTCCCTAAGGAAAGCGGCTATTGCAGGAACAAACGCAAAGATTGGTAGTACATGACAATGATTGTTGGTTGCTCGCTCGTCAATTTGCTGAGGTTGCTTAGTTCAAAACAGTTCGAGCCGTATAGCACAGAGAAAGGAATCACAGTTATCACTATCACAGTTTTCATACAAAAATGAAATGAGAATTACTTTCTTCGAGTGATCCCCACCCTGACACACCATTCTGACATAGTTTCTGAATCTTTCTGACATACCATCTGAAAGTATATCCCTTTCTATTGAAATCCCATGAAATATTGATATCATTTGGTATCCACTACTGGGGTTTCTGAAATCATGGGGGATCCCCAGTCATCACCATGGCTATACAAATGATCGAATAGGACGAATAGATAACGAGTGATTCTCCCATGACTTGGGACATAAAAATCTCCCTATTGATATTACCCTCCGATAAACATACAAAAAGCTATTGAACATGGCCCATTTAGTTCGTTGATTTACCGAAAATGCTGATGTCCGATAGTTATGTAAACGTTTACCAGAGGGTAATCAAATCATATTGGCATACTATATGTCCATTCATATCCCATTGTATTGATATCATGTGGCATCCCATTAGTCTCTATAATCAATCCATGAATATTCCATGAATGGGATACCCTCTGGTCAACTTGATAAAGATATATCCATTATTTGCACATATATATATATATATGTGTGTGTGTATTGTTAATCTATTAAGTCTCTATGATTATCCATGTTTACTTTATTAACCCACCAATATCAATATCTCAGTTGCATCCCAGTTCATTGAATTATACCAGAATTAGATTCCAGTGATTATTAATTACGTTCATTGTCATGTGATATATTTACATTGATATCCCATTGATTCCATTGAACCTTCCCATGCATTTCCATGATATGTCCATGGTATTGATATCCCATTAAATACATATATATATATATCACTTGAAATCAGTTGATATCTCACTACTATTTATTAGTTTGCAAACTATCTCTATTGATTATCCATTCATGCATTAGTACCAATTAATATCCATTATTAGATACTGTATCTCATGGCTCGCAGTATTATTAGTATTTATACTATCCCATGTCTCTTCCCATGGTTATGATTATCAATTATCATTATGATCCATGATTAATCATCAATGAATCACTAAATATCAAATTATCTATTGATTAATATTAATGATTATTGTCATTGTTATTATTAATTATCCATCCCATCAATCAGTGATAGTTACCATGGATCATAATCACCGTTATTATTCCCATTGTTGCCAGATCATTATTATGATTATGGAATATCATGATTATCCATGATTAATTATTAATTATCATCTCTACTATAACTATAATTATCATCATTATTAGTTATAGTATAATTATTATCAGTGTTATTTATTGCCCATTATCATAATTTCCTAATCCATTATGAATTAATTATCCCGTTGTTAGTATTAATCATCATTAATAATATCCCGATAATAACATTAATAAGTATTATTAACGTTTTTTGATTATGGTGGATTCATTATCATGGATTATGATCTGTTTATTAAAAAATGATTTATGAATTAATCAGTTCCATTATTATTATTACTCGTATTATCATTTAGTCCCATTATTGATTTATTATTTTAAAATTACCATTATTTCCATTAATTGATCCTAGATTTCTATCACTTATCCCACACCAATCCCATGAATCTCTAATCGGAATCTGTCCTCCGAGAGCCGCGTGAAGGTTCCGAAGCCTTGCGCCACGTCCTCCGCCCAGCAGGGTGCCTGGCGGCGCCATGGCGCTAGTTGGAAGATTTTCATGGGGAAAGCATACAGGATGGGGCCCCCGTTCGATAGCGTTCAGTTGCCCTGATTAAGTGGTTGAATTCTATGGTTTATGGTAGATATAACTATAGTATTCATGGGGGTTAAAATGGCTTCTAAACCAACTTATAGCTGGGGGACCCCATCCTGTAGGTTTGTTACTAGTAATAGGGAAAACCATAAGGGAAATCATGGAAGTTTGTAAAAAAAAATGGCATATTGTAGGAAATCATTGAGATTTCTTCGGAATTTAATGCAATTCTATGGTGATGTTCATGGGATTTTCACCAGCAACAAAAAAGGGATATTAGATTTTTTTCCACCATGTTTTCCGTGCAAAATCTTCGGTGAAGCCTGTAGATGTTCCTGTCATGAAAAAAATCTGCTATTTATCACCTTCCCGAAAACAGTGCCAATCTTAGATGATTTATGATTTATGATGTATAGATGATTTATGATCATTGCCAATCTTAGATACCCTGCAAAAAATGAGTTTTTTTGCTGGTGAACGTGGATATTCCCATTGATACCAAAAGACTAAAGGGTTAAAGTACCCATCTAAGATTGATCTAGAAAAATACACATATTAATCAGTGTCAATTCTGTAATTCAAAGCGTGCAATCAGCGTAGACCGTCCATGAGACCGCTCTTGCAGATCACGGACGAGAATCTGAAAGCATCCATTTTGGAAGGTGATAGGCCTGACTCATATCCATTTGGGGGGTGGAGCCAACAACAAAATGAGCTAAAATGAGGAAGAGAACTTAAACACCCAAAGATGGGATTCCGACAACTCAACATGGGAATTTTCCACAAAAAAGAGTCAGACTCAGCCAATACATGGATCGATGACTTTTTCTTGTCAGACACGTTACCTCTGGTAATTGAACATATACAGTAAACATACAAAAAGCTATTGACAGTTGCCATTTATATAGTTGATTTACCCACTAAAAATGGTGGATTTTTCCATAGTTTTCTGTCAACGTTTACCAGCGGCTAAATCCCATTAAACCCCATTAAATCCCATTAACTCCCATTAAATCCCATTAAACCACCATAAACCCTCATTAAATCACCATTTTTCCAATGGTTTTCCTATGGTTTACCGATAATACCAAAGCAATGGATCCCAAAGTCAACTTAGATTACCATCAACCTGGTCAATGTGGATCGACTGTGGAAGTTGCGAGTCCCATATCACATAGACACGGCGCGCGCAGGGTATGGAAAGAGATATTGTACACAGTGCACATGTGTCCATGATGTATTTTTTTTAGTAGATTTTAGTATGATTAATTTTAGTATGATTAAATATCGTTCAATGATATTGAATCGTGTTCAACATTATAATATTGCTCACTATTATTCAATTAGTTATTCAATATTACTATTACTCCATCTGATTCAACATAATTCAATATTATTCAACACGAGTCAATATTAATTGCTAAATGTTAATATTATTCAATATTACTATCATGTAAAAATCCTATTCAATACTATTCAATATGAACACACTACTCTGACATACGCGTTCATCATCAAAATATATCAAAATGGCACAGCAAAAACTCACAACTAGCAGTAAACATCCCCTGGCAACTCGCTCCTTTCAAGCTTTCAACTGTTCTGCTTGCCCTGCGTTCGATGCATTCTATGTACATGGTGCCACTGGCGGACCATCATCGCCTCCTTTTCGGCTTCTGTCCTTGGTCATGGGGCAATTCACCAAGGGAATTGACACAAATCCTCGTAGATTCCCCTTGTTGCTGGGAAAAAAACATGGGAACATGTTAAACTAACCATTTATCGTCAGTATCATATCACCATTTATTCAACTATATAGTTGCTTTTCCCACTATAACCCCTGAAAAATACTAAAAATTAGTTGTTTTTCTCAGTATAACCCCTGAACAAATCGAAAAAGAAAAAAAACATAAAATTTGCTGATCAACTCCAGGTCTCCCTTAGATCCCAGTGACTTCTTCTCCGCCATGGCTCCCAAGGCGGCTATGCCCAAGGCGGCCGCGCCCAAGGCCACCCCCTCCGGGCCCAGGTCTTTCAAGGTCTCGGTGGCTGGGCGAAAGGCGTCCTCCATCTGCGAAACCGCCTCGAACTCGGCCAAGGTCTTGCCTGGAGATGCGGCCATCGCTTGTTAGTGAACTACAGGATGGTGCCCCGAAACGTGATGTGAATATTGGTTTATAAACCCCATGAATACTAGATAATACTAGTTTGTTTGTTTTATCTACCATAAACCATACTTAAGCCACTTATAGGGCAACTTAGCTATCTTGGGGGCCCCATACTGTAGTTAGCAAATGGATCATAATTATTTTTTTTGTGGCTTGCAACCCACTAACCAGTTACATAGCTAACTCCCTGGCTCATCGTTTGGTGAACATCGGTGAACAAGCCATAAAAATATGATCCATATGTAGATCCATATTGTAGATCCTATGTAAGTTTATAGAGACTGAGTTTTCCCCATCATCCTACACTTTTACATGGTTCGCAGATCTTAGCGGCCTATCAAAAAGCATAGTTGTTCAATGATTGTTTAATTCTTACAATCTTTGTTAGATAATTTGTTTTCCAATTTATGCTTCGCATATCTGAACATTTCTTCCGTGGGTGGTTTCACCCGAGACAAAATCTCTCGGCCATTGGCCTTTGAATTCCTCAGCTGGCGCGATCAAACAGCCAGGACGTTTGCGCACCACGCGCAAGGCTTCTGCAGGAGATCGTCCATCGCACGCGGCGACGTCCAGCATCGCTTTCCATGACGCTTGGAGATTCCTCTCCTGCATTGCCAGAAGTAGTGGCCTCAGTGCCAAAATGTATGGAAAATTCATGGTGAATCTGAGCCAAGCTGTCAAAGAATTATCTCACTTTTAGTTAAGGTGAATGGACTAAAAGTGAAAAAAAACAAAAGATTCTTGAAACCATTTCTTTGTGTTTACCTAGACCCTCCAAATACCTCAACGAAATGGTAAAAGTACTAACATTTATTGGTAAAACAGTAAAACCCACTTTTTATGGGTACTTGGAGGGTCTACTAAGAGAGATAAGGAAAATTCAATGAAAATATCATGGTTTTTTCATGTTTTTTTTCTATGGTTTTTGTCTCAGCTCCAGCTCTATTTTCATGGTGGATCCTTGTGGTTCTTGATGGCAATTTGTGGCTACTGGCCTGAAAAAAACAACTGAATCATGCGAGCATCCTTCTCTTGATATGTCTGAATCGTTCGTTGTTTTTGTGCAACGAAAGAAAGAACCCATAGGTATGTATATATATATCATATAGGTTGTAAATCAGGTGCCACTGAACATCCTCTTATGAGACAAAAGAGACATAGAAGAAAATACTTGAAATCATCCGTATGGATCCAACTAACCAGTTAGGACTAGTCAAGGGCGATCCTCCAAGTACCTGGGGCTGCAGTTGGGATTGTTGATCTGTATTACTATGGGGATTATACCCTCTGGTTTTTTAACAGTTCGCCATGGGAAATGGCCCATAGAAAAAGAGATTTACCGAACTTAAAAATGGTGGATCTTTCACCATGGCGAACTGTGAGTCATAACCATGTGGTAAGCCTAAATGTTTCATGAAAGATATGGGGCCCCTGGGGCCCCTATGATTTTCAAGATCTCCATTGAGTTCACTACAAAAATCATCATGCTATGGCTAAATACCAGATTATCCACTTAGTTCCATACATATAGTGTAACTGTGTAACTATAGTATACTATAGTATACTACATATATTATATATATATGATTGGTGGTGCAACAACCATCTTGAAAAAATGATGGAGTTCGTCAATGGGAAGGATGACATCCCATATGTGAAATGGAAAATAAAAAATGTTCCAAACCATCAACCAGAAATTATCCACTTAGTTCCATACATAGCGGGCCCCCCTTCATAACCCCATCTAACTAGGAACACGGCCTTTAGAAGGCCGTGGTGTTTTTGTGATCAACGGGGTGTCATGGATGATGTTTGATGTGGTCGTGCCAATAGGATTTTGTCTGATGTGTTTTTAAAGGCGAGAAACTCCTTATTCTGGTGCATAAAATCAAAAACAAGCATTTCGCCTAGGCGAAACTATCATTTTTGATGTTTCTCAGAACTCCCCAACTAATTCGACCTGTAATGGTTTGATATGAGTTTAAAGGCCAGAAACCCCTTATTCTGGTGCATGAAATCAAAAAACAAGCATTTCGCCTAGGCGAAACCACTTTTTTATGTATTTCCACATGTTATGTCATGATGAAATTGGCACAGCCTGCCAGACGACCTTGCAACCGACCTGGATTTCGACCTTGCCTTGCATCGAACATCAAAATATAACCAAAGACAGACATTCATACAAGTAAATGATGTTAAAACTAAAAATCTGATCGCACTTCCAGCTGACATCTGCTGATGACTTTTTTTCTCACAGCAACTGTTCGAGTTCTTCCAGGAACCGTTGGGGATCTGGAGTGTCCAAGGTGCAGCGCCAGCACCACATGAACACATATTGTGTTACTGACGGGTGCATCGTTGAATGCCCACGGTCTTTGTGTTTCAAGACCATGTGAGCAGGAAGGAATTCTTTCAAAGACCTCCAAGACCGGTACACACAGAGACGACTCTACTTACCCAGCAAGTTCACATGAACGTTAATACCTGCCCCACCCCACCCCACCCCAACCCCCCGATGTGCACGAAACACCACGGCCTTCTAAAGGCCGTGCTTCAACTAGTTCGATATATCAGCCCAACAGTTATGTTTGATGAACTAAACCAACATAGCCAGCTACCCACCGGGGGCCCCACATTGTAGTGTCACTGATCATAGATATATCCCCCCATAAACCCAACAGTTTTTGTAGTGAACTAAACCAACATAGCCAGCTATCCAACGAGGGGCCCTCCATATAACAGTTAACTGGCTATGGGATTGTAAATCGTGCACCTAAGGTTAAAATATATATATATATATGTATACATACCCTCTGGTAAACATACAAAACGCTATTGAAAATGGCCATTTATAGTGGATCTTCCCATTAAAACTTGTGATTTTCCATAGTTATGTGAAAGTTTACCAGAGGGTATTATATCATATATATCACTTCAATGTCTTTTTGTTTGCCAGTTCTAACTGGCATCTATCTTTCGGGCACTGAAAACTCACTCAGCTTCCCAACGTCAGAATCATACCCATATGCTCCATGTATGGAATATTTACCTACATTTACCCCAAAAATCACCCAGTTTTGTAGGTAAATATTCCAGCACCATGGGGCATCTGGGATATTGAATCCCAGCATCTCCCGCAGGACCAGTCCCAGGGCCTCCTCCCTGCCGAGCGTTTCCCCCAGGCTCTGGAAACGTCGCCGTAGATCGGCTTCGCTGCAGGCGGTGCCCAAATAGTCTGGACGCTCTTTGGCCATTACCTGCTGAGTGATTTCACCATGAAACATGGCGACTTTATAGATTTGATATGATTTTATGGTTGAACAATGTTGGTGAGTGATTCTAGATAAGTGGGTTTACAACTAGAAAAGCTGGTATTGAAACTTAAAAAAATCGCTGCATAGGGTTATTAAGCAACTTATAACGTTTGTTTGACACCAGCACTTTGGAGGGAAAGCCTGAGTTGGATGGACTTTCACCCAGGAGCTAAGCGGCATCAAGTGGGAAAGAACATATTAGAAGTTACAATTACAGTACGACCCAAGGTTTTGATTAGGTGGGATATACCCTAGTATTATATATATATATATATATATATACACTGTATGTATGTACCCTCTGGTAAACTAACATAAGTATAGACATTCACAATTTTGAACAGACAAATCAACTCTTTCCATGGGGTATTTTCAATAGCTATGTTAAATTACCAGAGGGTGTGTATATATATATATACATATTATATTATATTATATCATATTATATTATGTTATCTTCTGCTATGTTATGTTTAATTATATATCATATTATATTATATTATAGTATAGTATATTGTATTATATTATAGTATATGATATTATATTGTATCATATTATATTATATTATATTATCTATCATCTTATATAAAATTATATTATGTAATATTATATATTTATTATTATATTATATAATAATATATTTTATTATATTATATCATAATATGTTACTATGATATATTATTATTATATTATATTAATATATATATATATATATTAAATTATATTATTTTTTATATTATATAATAATATATTACACTACATTACATTATATTATATTATATTATTAAACTATTATTATTATTATAAATTATATAGTATATCTCTTATATTGTATTAAATAATATTCTAAATATTATATACACATGGGTTGTTCGCCATTCCCTGAGATGCACCCCAAAACAACGGAAAGTGCTCCATAAAACACTGGTGAGTCATGTTTTCTCCCCAAACAACGGACCTCCGGAAACTTCTTTCTGAACGCTGCCACTGCTTCATCTGCCCCAGGTGCCAGCAGAATCCCCATGCTTTTCGCGTTTCGGCTTCCGGCAGGTGAGGAAAACGTGGCGCTTTTCAGCGCCCAGGGAAGGAACATCCAAAAGATCAGCCATGGTGTCCCGTGGCCATGTGGCCGGCGTGGCCATCGGCTCCACGACTTGAAATCGGAGACCATCTTGAGCCTTAAGCTGGGAGTGACCGGAGTGACCGTCTGACCTTGGGTCGTTTCATCAAGATCATCCCAGTGAGGATGGGGTGATGGGGCCCAATTTCATAAACCTCCTTGGGGATGGTGACTATGGCATGGCTTTACCACACTATAAATGTTGCAATAATGGTGACGTAAGACGTTTCATCAACGTACTGGCTTGGTTGAAATGTGTCGATTCCCGTTGGTAGTTCCCCCATTCGCAGGATGGACAATTTGGTTGTTGGTTGAAGAAAATCCCAATATAAGCTATTTCAATTCGATAGCCGCTTTTACAGCTGAAACATTGACATCTTCCGTTAGCATGTTTGTGGTGTTAAGCCCCAGTTGATTGCTTGTTGCTTGAACCATACCAAGAATATGCTCTGATTGTTGGTTACGACGACCCCTTCCCACGTCACTTTCTCGGATATCATTGATACTCATCATATGATACAGCCCATCTACTGAGCTTCAGGAGTCACTTCACTTGCATCATTTTAGATGCTGTGTTCTTCCCATATTTTGCCCATATTTTGCCCCCTTCTTTTTGCCCTTGTTCATCCTCTCCATGTTTTCCCATTGGTTTTCCCAGATTTTCGGAAGGCGCACCAACATCGAGGCCAGCAGAGCGAAATGGCACAAAGCCACACCGCTTTCGAAGGCCGAACTGAGGACGGCCACGGCACCTTCGATCGAGGTGCCATGGTTCGAAATAGGGAATCTGGTTGGGTCTATGAAACAGGTCTAGCAGTTACCCTCTGGTGAACTAACATAGCAATGGAAAATCCCCATTTTTAATGGGAAAATCCACTATAAATAGCCATTTTCCATTGCTATGTTAGTTCACCAGAGGGTACCCCCTGGTAAATTAACAGTTTGACCCTGAAAATGACCAAAGTGGAAACTAAGTTTCTAGTCTTCCAACCCCGACAACTGGCAGGGTCTATGTTAATTTACTGGAGGGTAATAAGAATCTATGAGTAGCCTGAGTAGCCTCGGATTATTTAACATATGGTATAGATGATGCATTTATAGATGATCAACATGATCATTTACCAGTGCTTTTCTTCTTCTGTTCAGTAAGAAATCACAAGTACTCATTAAGAAATCGGGAATATGGTTAGGGTTCCTAAGATTCTATTAGTACTTACGTAATCATATCAAGGATGTTTATAAGATCTATGCTTAGGGTTTTGCATTGGGCAACATCCCACTTATAGTGCTTTAATATTTTCTTATATATATATATATATCAGTCAATGGTCATCGATAAGGGTTTCATAGCCTAGTTACTAGGTTACTAGGGTTGATCTGGCTCGTCCTTACAATGGCGCCCTGGTCTGGGGACGATTTTTTTCGGCTTACCATGGCTGGGATGATCCAAGATCCAAGATGCACCAGTAAGCCTCGACAATGGGGTGAAACCTATGGAAAAACAAGGAGAAAAAAAACACCAAGTTCATGGGCTACCCAGTTCCGAGGATTTCCCCTCAGCACTGATGACATCCGATGACATCCGATGACTATCAACGTGCCACAAAATAAATCCATGGCTACTCGAGCATACCCTGCACAAGATATAGATTTGCCTGCTTCGTATGAAACACTCCTTCATACATGTATATATATATATATAAATATACATACCTATAGATGTACAGATCAAGTATATAGTATATATATATATATATACATTTATGGCAAAGGCTTACAGGTTTGTAGCTTGTAGGATATGATTAATCTGCCTGAATTGTATATCACATGTCATTTCACTCGAAAATAGCTGAAATGTTGGGCCCACATAGGGGATGATTCCCCGAATCCTAACCATGATTCCAGCGACGTCGCGACGTGAGGTCCAGATGATTCCAGATTAATGACCACTATTAACCATTATTAACCATCATTATAACTATCATTTATTAGGGGATAATAGTAGGATAATCATGGAATAATAATGGCATAATCATGGGATATCTAACTAATGTGGATGAAACAATGTCAGAAACCACCCAGAAATGGGAATGGTAACCATACTACCTAGAAAAATGGTGATTTGGGGGATGGTTTATGGCATTGTTTTAACGATTCCAGTATCTAGAGACAGGTCAGATCGGTCTGTGCGACTCAACCGGCGCCAGAAAACAGCCAGAAACTGGCCGTTTTCGGGGGGGAAACTAAATGATTTAAATGTGGACCACATGCGGCGTAATTCACAGAATCTAATATAAGAGTTACCCTCTGATAATGTGTTACATAGCTATAGAAAATCACCATTTTCCAGTCCGGTAAACCATCTATTTCAATGGGCCATGGCTTCCATAGCTTTTTGTATGTTCACCAGAGGGTATATTAAGATAGAATCAAACTAGCCGCCTCGACGTCCCTTGCACCACAGTACTTTGCTGTAGGAAGATAATCTTCAATCTCTTCTCCCTAAGACTTACCCGACAAAAATAGGATTGGATTGGCCCTTTCCTTTCTTTTTCGGTTGCTTGCGATTGCGTTCTTAATTGTGGTAATTGAGATCAATAGGAGAACAGGATGGTGAAATAGTGGTTTTTATCCCCTGTTAATAAAAATAGAATCACACCTGATGTTTTATTGTTAGGATCCCATTTGGAAATATATGATTTCAGTTTTTTTATTGAGGTTTTTAATAATCAATCTTAGAGGAACCTTCGAACTCCAAATTTCGGCAATATCTTAATTAGATTTTAAAGAGGAATTTAATCGATGTTGTTGTTTGTTGTTTTTTTAAATAGGGTTTTTAATTTAATCTTAGGGGAACCATCGAAACCCAATGTTTGGGTCAATTTTTTAATTATATATATATTTCGAAAAGGACATTCATCGATTTTGAACTAGAAAATGTGAGTTTTTAATACTAAAACAATGTAATCTAGGCAATACAGATCACCATATGTTACTATATGTTTACAATGTGAGGCTCCCGAGATAGCTAAGCTGGCTTATAACTCCAATAACTATGGTTTATGGTACTTATAACTATAGTTATTGGGGCTTATAAACCAACTTATAACTGGGGGGGGCCACATTGTACCATTTGGGGGTGGTATTTTGTATGGTTTAGTAAGCCATGTCTTTTCCCACCGGCTTTCCCAGCATGCTGAAACCGGCTCTCCCACCATGTTCGTCTGCCCACTTGGCCATTGCCGCCGTCTGCTCCAGGCCTCTTGCAACGTGTTTGAGGGATGGTATACTATCTATAATAGCCAGCAAGATAGTACGTATATTATTCAAATAGTGTAAGTATACTATCTATATCTATATATCTATATCTATATCTGATATCTATTTGAATAGTACGTATACTAGCTATATCTATATCTATATAATATCTATCTAAACTATCTATAAAATTATGTGTATATGTATATATATATATGTATTTATGGATAATGATCTGATATCTATAAATTCTATTTTGGAACATGATAAAGACATTTTGAGTTAAATATACATGTATATATTTATATGTAATAGCCAGAAATCATACTATATGATTTGAGTGTGTCTAGAAATGTTTAGAAAGGCCCAATTTTCTGCATCCTTTCCAGGTTTGCAAGCTATTTTCGGCATCTTTTTGGGCTGTACAGTAGAATTGTATATCTATCGTAAAGCACTGTATTTCCCCACCTGCCAGGTGAGGGTTGTTAGATTTTATCAGAGTTGTTCTCCTCCTCCTCGTCCTCCTCGTCCTCCTCGGCTAGTTGTCCTCCTCCTCGTCCTCGTCCTCCTCCTCCTCCAGTTTCTCCTCGACCATGTCTGCATCAACTTCCACCTGCACTTCCGCCTTGCCAACTCTTCGCCAAGCTCTTTGCCAACTCTCTTCGCCAAGCTCTTTGCCAACTTCCCAGCTCAGTGTGCACCGCTGGACCTCAACCTGGGACCGTCCCAGCTCAGTGTGCACCGCTGGACCTCAACCTGGGACCTGCCCAGCTCAGTGTGCACCGCTGGACCTCAACCTGCACCGCTGGACCTCAACCTGGGACCTGCCCAGCTCAGTGTGCACCGCTGGACCTCAACCGGGGACCTTCCCAGCTCAGTGTGCACGGCTGGACCTCAACCTGGGACCTGCCCAGCTCAGTGTGCACCGCTGGACCTCAACGGCCAGATAGAATGCCAGAAGATATGCCAGATAGAATGTCAGATAGAATGCCAGAAGATATGCCAGATAAAATGCCATGAGATATGCCAAATAAATGTGCCAGATAGAATGTCAGATAGAATGCCAGAAGATATGCCAGAACATAAGCCAGAAGACATGCCAGATAGAATGCCATGAGATATGCCAGATAGATGTGCCAGATAGAATGTCAGATAGAATGCCAGATAGAATGCCAGAAGATATGTCAGAATATATGCCAGAAGATATGCCAGATAGAATGCCAGATAGAATGCCAGAAGATATGTCAGATAGAATGCCAGAAGATTTGCCAGTAAGAAAATGTATGAATGTCATGGTGGGGATCACACGAAGTAAAGTAATTTAATGGGGAAATGATGATAAACCCACATGAAGTTTACAAAGAACCAACTGGGAACTCATTGGCTTTTCCAAAGTGTTCTCAGCCCTCTCCGGAGTCACATGCCACGTCAAGCATCGACCAATATCCTTGCATCTGAAAAAACAATCATCCTCTATCATTAGTATGAATGCCGCTGAATGCCCATGGTGCTACGATTCCCAATCATGAAAACACATGGAAACATCATGAAAACATCATGAAAACATGTTTTTGAGCACACATGTTCGCATATCAAATCATATCAACATATCTGAGCCTTTTTTAAAAATCTGCCAAATCCACCTGGCCATCAATTTGGCATTTCTTGGCCATCAATTCTTAAACTACTAGAGTTAAGGCCATTTATCAGTTATAAGTACTTACAACCCCATCAGTTAGAATGTATAATCCCATTTACAACCAGTTATAACATAGCTATTGAAAATGGCCATCTATAGTGAGTTTTTC